AGATGAAGGAAGATACAATCCTGAATCCCTTCTCCAGTGAAGTTTTTGACCTGAGGCATAAGTGTGGCCTGGGGAGGGTAGAAAGACAAGCTTTTCCAACCTGAAAGGGACACTGTACAAATACTCAAAAGTGACCCAAAAAGCTGGGCATTCTACATCAAATGTTGTCCAGAAATGAGAAAGGAAAATTGGTCAGAGCATATATAATGCTAGAAGGATGAAGTTATTTATTCATTGTTCCCTGATTTCTGCCTTTTAAATAAAACACTTATATATTTTAAAGAGAGAATAATGAGGAACTTTCTATTTTTAATAAACTTATTTTTTGAGAATTTTTATCTTCACTCAGTAAATATTTACTGAGCACCTGATATACTCCAGATACTCTTCTAAGCACTCAAGGATATGTCAATGAACAACACAGACAAAAATCCCTGCCTTTTTAGAGCCTACTTGGGCAAGGGAGGAAATAATGACATTATGCAGCATACTGGAAGGCAGTAAATCCATGAAAAAATAACAAAGCAGAGTGGAGAACACAGTGAGAGCAGTAATACAAAGTCTCTCCTTATCAAGGAGGACACATTCTAAGATCACCCAGTGGATGCCTGAAACCATAGGTAGTATGAACCCTATATAGATATATTGTGGTTTTTTTCTATACACGTATACATGTGATAAAGTCTAATTTATAAATCTCTTACCATGACATTTATAATCTTATAGTAAGAGATTAATGAAAATAAGTGATAATAAAATAGAACAATCGTGACAGAATACTTTAATAAAAGTTATATGGATGTGCTGTCTCTCTCAAAATATCTTAATAGTTTTGGACTGTGGCTAACTGAAAGTGCAGAAAAACAAAACCACAGATTAAGGGGCACCGCTGTGTCTGATCAAGGACCTGAAGTATATGAAGAAACGACCCATCCAGCTGTCTGAGGGAGGAGTGTCTCAAGCAGAGAAGAGCAAAGGGCAGGAGTGTGTGTGTGGAGTGTTAAGAAAGAGATAGCTCAGAACGATCAGAATTAAGAACCATGGCTAAGGTGTGGGGTAGAATGCATTTCATGCAGTGAAGCTTTGTAAATATTAGCTGAGCAAGTAAGTGCAGGCAAACAGCAGGTATTTGCTGGAAAACACCCTATGGTTCATCTTTGCTGTGCCTCTTCCACAAATTTGGTACCGAGGTGCTAGTGTGGTAACTTCAAGCTGTAGGGGGGGCAACTGGGGTAGTAGGGCTGCCTTTGTGTTGAACCTAGATTCACTGTTCTTTATAAACCCTTGACAACCATTTTGGGGAATTTCTTTGACATCTCTGTAAACTTTTTAAGTCCTTTATTTCCAGCCACATTGGTTTTTTAAATATTCCTGACCACCAAACATCCCTCAGGGAGGAGCCTTGTTACTGCTGCTTTTGCTTACTAGAGACCTGACAATTTCCACATGACTGGTTTCTTTTTGTCATTTAGGTCTCATCATCTTTGTCACTTTCAGAGAGAAACCTTTTCTGATGCCCCACTCTATGTTGGTGCCTCCTGCCCCAGTTACTCCACTTCATCTTCCTGACATAATTTTCTTAGCATTTGAATGTGTGTGAAACTGTTACATTTATTTTATGTATTTCCTTGTTAGTCCTTCATGAAAATATACAATAATTAAACCTTTCGTCATACAGTCCAGTGCTTGGACTGTAGTGTAACTGAGTAAGTTCTCAAAAATGCTTTGTTGTAGAATGTGTAAATCACATAAATATAAAGAGTTACATTTATTGAATATTTACTATGTGCTGTAAACTGCGATAAATATTATTCTATAGATTTTCTATTTAAAGCTTCTTGCTGGCATTATTTTCTCTGTTGTTCAGGGCCATTTGCTGTCTTTCTTTGAGTCTACGACCCCTTAACCATTGCGCCTCACTGCCATTAAGACAGTTCAGCAGCGCCAGTTCCTCTGCAGCTTAGCACAGCAGAAGAGAGATTTTAATACCTGTATTGGGCAGTGGTCAGACTGAATAAATACCTTTATTTGGCTGGGGGCAGGGAAGGCATGGTGTTTAGTTGATCTCAAAGGTGGGTGCCCTCATGGCTGAATTTGTCCCACACGCATCTTTGTCTGGGCATACTGTTTAAAAACAGAAAGACTCACCTACGAATCTAGATTTGATACTTCTCTTGAGTAGCAGTTGCCCCCTCCGATGGGGTACCTGTGTTCCTGCACCGTGCAGTCCCCCTTGTTTATGTTTTACCTCCAGCCAACCTGGAGAATTAGAGCTACATAACCTTCTCCCCCCAGAATTGAAGAGCTAGACCCCTTTGTACGTGCAGCATGCATGCCCTACTACAAGGGACCAGGAATCACCCTACAGCCTGCCACATGGACAGGAGTGCCAGAGTTCTTTTGTTTATAGTGAACCCAACCATCCCAAGCAATCTCAATTGACTCCACATTGTTTTTTCTCCCTCCGTCAACATTCTGATCTGCTTGGAGGGTGTCCCCAGTGTCCAGATTCAAATAAATCCTACTTTCTGGAAAGTGCATTGGAATTTTCAAGGCAGCCACAGACACAGTTGAAAATGCCTGTGAATCGAGGAAGTGAAATCAAGATGCCTCTTTTACCATTCTGATGACTGAACTCTGATGTGCCTAAGTGTGTCTAGCAGCCTGTCACTGCTTTACCACTGTTACTAGTGACATGGGAAACAAAGACTTTCTAATTTATGCTTATTTGCCCCTGGAAGTGTTATTTGGGAACAAATCTAATGCTTATTTTTCAGCGGTAAAACAAAAAATACATTTTTAATACACTTAAAACATCTTTTTTTTAATATCATGAGCATTTAGTTTAGGTCACCTAAAGGCACATAATGTTGTGAGTCAGTACTTTTAAAACTATTGTACTGAGAAATATTCAAATTTTTCTGAGTAGGAAATACATAATCAGAAAAAATCATTCAAACTCTGTATTGGTTAGCTTTTTTTTATCCTTGCCTTGATGCCACCTTGATTCTTTAAAATTCAATACCACTGCGGATTTTTATTCTTACATTATTTCATCATAGTTTCTTTCTGTCTGATTACTAATTTTTCTGTTGTATAATCTTTTCAGTTCTAGAAATGGAGGTGAATATTTTTGTTACTTTATTATTTACCACAAAGCTTCTAGGCCTCTAGTTAGTCTTTTTTTTTCCTTACCAGTATTTTTTAAAAATAAATATGCTAACCACACACACACACACACACACACACACACACACACACACACACACACAAATGACTATTTTTAAAATGCCTAATATTTTTCCAAGGGATATAGTTGAAATCTATGCTATAAAGGCTCCTAAAAATGGATCACTCTTTATACAGGCTTTATTGTTTTATGAAGTCTTAACTAGTGAGCAGAGATAGACTTAATTGTATTTTAAAGCACTGTGTTGCCTTGTTCTGTTTTATTATTGGATTCATAGGTTAATGTCTATAAAGTGATTTGAGTTCTTATACAAGGCTAGAGAGATTATGCATTTCTATGCAAAATTTGTGTGCAATTATATATACACCTTGAAGAAAGAGTAAATGTCTTAAATATTTTATAGCATGTTAGCTCTCGTTAAATATATTATTGACAGCAGGCTAAAGGTGAGAAGGATGGCATCTTATTAATCTTTTTATCTCTTGCTCTTCCCCGTACCATGCCTGATACTTTATAAAAGCTCAATAAATGGAAGAATCGAAGGCAAGATGTCTAGTGTTATCATTAGCAACCATACCATTTGTAATAGATTTCACAAGGCTTTAGTTCTCATCTGGCTTTAAGTCTTATCTGAATATTCCTTCTTTCAATGAAATGGTACTTAATTTTTCACTTCTGTAATTATTTGATTGCTAAATCTTATGGTCAACAAGTTGGGAATTCAGTTAATACCCTTTGCAAATAATGTGACATCGTTTTTTGACAGCAAGGGGAAATACAGTCAGTGCAGTATTTCAGGAGATCCTGACAACTCTTGGTTGAAGAACATTAATCAAGTAACTGGGATGTTGTAAAATTGGTAGAAACTACACAGAAACCAGGAATAAAAAGGTTTGAGACTGTCTGAAGCCAGCCTTTTAACCTTTTGAAGAGTTTTAGCATTCCTGCCACTGTGAATTTAATGGCTCTTCAGTTTCGTCTGCTTAAGACCTTTTTTTTTATTACAGGTAATTTTCTGCATAAAGCGATCAGCTAGATAAGCTGTATTTCAAAAATTTTAAAAGTCTCTTATTATATTATCATCACCGTGGTCGATTCATTTATGAAACACAAAGCACTCCCATTTGGAGAGATTTATTCTCATATCAATTTTTTCCTGGATTCGCCAGAACCCCGTCATGTTCGTGTTCTGAAGGTTAATGCCCAAAGTCAAGCAGACAGAAGCCAAGTGCTGCAAGGTTTCCAAGATTAGGACTGATTCCCTTCACAGAAATAAATGATTCCTGCCATGTTCAGTGATTTTGTGCAGTGCTCCCCATGGCTGAGTGAGTGCATCAATACTGTAGTCCTTACATGCTATACATACTGATGACACTCGGTGTTAACTTGATTGACTGAGCAGTGCGCTGGAGAGGACGCACCTGCGAGAGAAGTGCAGACACATATATTTTTATCCTGGTTTTGAAACATTTATTTTACATTGATTTTACTTGGGAGTCGTAGTTGCCAATTCCATGGGCTCTCAAGCCACATTGCTAAGGTAGAACAAACTGTTAATTGCTTGCTTTGTTGTTAGAATTATACCGAAAATGGTCTCAGGTTTAAACCCTTTGCCAAAGCCTGATTTGATGCTTTTGAGGGACAATGACATGCAGGTAACTATTAAGAATCCTGAGAAATTAGGGTTTCTGTAGAATTGAAATCTCTTTAGAGGTTCTGTCTAGCGATGGGCAAATGAATCATATAATTCAATTAATAGACATCATTTTGGCTATATTTTTATGTTATATTTTATTGTCATGTTTTGTAGGCTTTGAGGCAGCAGCAGAAAAGAAGAAATGGAGTCTCAATGATGGTAAACAAGACTGTTCCTCGTGTTGTTTTGACACCATTAAAGGTGTCTGATGAGCAGTCGGATTCGCCTTCAGGTAAAGAGCTGAAATATTGTATGCTTGGCCAGTTTCTTCCCGGAGGAGACTTCCTCACTGAGAAAGATGTCATGAATTTTTTTTTTTTTTCTGGAGCTGAATAATATTTCCACTTGAGGTTTGGTTTAATTTTTTTTTTTATACTTTGACTCTTTCAGTGATTCAAAAATATGGAATATTTCCCAGTTTGTTTTGTTTTTAAAGGGCTCTAGCTCGCTCATCATCACCAAATAACTTTATCTGCTGATGTCAATAGGTGTAAGAAAATGTGTAGTGATATGAGGTGGATTTTATTGTTGTTGCTTTGGCTTTTTTTAATGGTAGACCACATGCTGATATATAATACCATCAAGAGCAGTTCTTCTGTGAGTGTGAATTTGTTTTTCAGTTTTGTGCTGCAAAATCAGGAATCCTTTATTAGTTTTTTTGTTCAGGCAACATTCTTCTCACCCCAGTGAAGCCCTGACCTTTTCTTCTAATTTACCTTCTGTCGTTTTATCAGCTAGATGTACCATTCTATTTATTATAGATTAGTGTTTGCATTTTCCGTTCCTACTTCAACATAAAGTTATTCACAAAGGTATAGTTTCCCCCCCTCTTTGAGATTCCCTTCTTCATCTTTCTGTGTCTGTCTTGTATTGTCTCGAAATGACTTAGTATTGTTCAGGCTTATTCGTGTAGTTTTACAAAAGATCTGACTGTTTCTTTTAAAAGCTATCAGATCAGTGAACATGTTTTTGACTCTACTATTAGGCCATCTGTTCTTGCTTTTTGTTCTGTTTGATTGATTTATTGGGCTTCTCTTTTTAGGGGAATCAGATTGTGGCCAAAGGTAGTATATTAACTCTTAGAAAAAAAGATTATATCTACAGTTCTTAAAACAAATTTAGATTTTTCTTTTCGAGGACAGCGAGAGGAAGATAATGACATAATAACTATTTCCTTTTTTAGGATCCGAATCTAAAAATGGTGAAGCAGACAGTTCAGATAAAGAAATGAAACATGGGCAAAAATCTCCCACTGGAAAACAAACAAGTCAGCACTTAAAACGATTAAAAAAGTCTGGTTTAGGTGAGTGTTTAATAGACTGTGACATTTCACATTTTAGAGATTTATGTCTTTTCAAATAAATTATGAAAAATTCTCAGAACTTTTATTTTTAGTGATTAAACAAGGAAATCAAAATATCCTTCCATTTATCTAAACCAAAAAACGCGCCAAATAAGGAAACTTTATAGTTACATTGAATGGTCTTAAGCTTATTACTAAATTTGTTAATGATTTTATTGGATGAAGAGAGGATAAAGATAAGAGAGTTAAAATGATATGCTTTCAAATAATTATCTGCCCAGTCATGGTTCTATCTAATGTGTAGTGTTTTATTTATGCAACCAAGTTTCACTTTATTGCGATATACTGTGTTGTGGGAAAATGCAGCATTTGTAAAAGGTTCATTGAACTGGATAGTACATTGTCATTGGGATCTGCTGCAGTAAAACTGCTCTGCCTTGCTTTTTGCCTGTGCAACTTGAAATATTTAGTAGTGCCTGTCTGAAAAATAGTGTCAGATTGCTGAGAGTGTGGGAGACACAGTCCGTGGGTCTTGCAAGTCAGCACCAGGTTTTATTCTGTATACTTCCTTCCTGATAACTTTTCACCAGGAACCCAAGAGCAGCATTCAGGGAAAAAGGAGGATGAGAATTAAAAAGGCAAAAAGAAACATATCCTGAACTGAACATTATAATTCTCAACTACCCCTGCCTTGTTGACTGACCTGGACCTAATGGCTTCATTTCTCTCTCTTATCATACTTGTTCCACCTCTGAATAAGGGTGGTCTCATGATAATAATCTGAATCATTATAATATTTTGTAAAATGGTTGGTAAGAACTACAAAGTTCTGCTACTTTTTGGGAAATTTAGGATAATTTTTATTTACAGAGTTTCTCTGTAAAATTCAAGCAAGATTTTAACTGATTCATTTATTTAGTTTTTAGTAAAGCTTTGTCATTTGCCTACATTTGCTAAATCCTGGGAACATCATTTCAATGAAAAACCTTTAAAGAGAGTTTATAATCCTCAGATAAGAGACCTCTGGTAAAACAGAATTCATTTTTGATTTGAATTCTTTAAATAAAGCAGTTACCTATTTTATACTATATAATTTTCAAGGCTAAATTATTTTACAGTTAGTGTCCAACCCAAAATGTATCCATGTGTTTGTGTATAAGCACCCTTACATATACACTGAGGTGTTTTTTCCTAGTACTCTGGGTGTTGTAAAGTATTCTAAGATAAGTAGCTTCTTGAAATAGAAAACTATAGTGGGAGAGTGATATGTAAAGAATATACTAAAAATATATATATATTCAAAACAGTGCCGCATTACCATACACTACGTGATTTAAACATGTGACCTTTACCTAACAACAATATGCTACCAACTTCAGTAAAGTTAATGTCTTATAATGAGAGTAAGAACATTTAAGGCACAGGGCCTGCCCACTTATTTACTTAGCTTACTTTAGGATTGAAAGTCAACAAGCCCCTGTACCGTGTTATCCCCTCAGGGGCTTGAGTCTTTAGTCAGGATTTCTAGTATTTTGATTGCAGTTACCTTGAAGTCCATACTCAAGAAGATAGAAAATCAGATTTTTTCTTCTTTTTTTAGATTGAGAGTCAATTGAAAGATATAAAGGCTGATATAGAAGCCTGCTCTTAGGAAATTCTGCATACCACTAAACATCTTATATATTAAAAAAAATAGTGCTGCCAGAGGATTTCAGCTGATTTGTTAGCAAATTATAAGGGTAATAAAGGAGACCACCATGATCTTTTGAACCCACTTTGTTTTTAGACTACAAAGTAGTAGAAATAATGAAGCAATGGAGAAATGAAATCATATATTTGCTGCCCATATTTAATGGAATGGTCTAGGTATTTTGACACAAGAGATCTCATTTAATTCTTATTTCAGTTTTGTACAATAGAATGATTTCCATTTTACAGCTGAAGACAATGAGGCCTAGAGGGGTTAAGGAAGTTGCCTAAAAATGACACAGCTAAAATACAATCCAACGCATACCTAACTCCAAAGTCTAAACCATTCATTCGTCCTGAGTAGAATTGGAATGCCAAATCATCTAGCCTGTGTTTTAGACCTTTAGGCACCACTGAGAAGAAACAGCATTATAGGACATAATTAGTCTACCCTAGGTGTTAAAGTGCAGGTATACAGTTACCCATGGAAGAAGAGCCAGCAGCACTAAGCTTTCCTGGCCGACCCTGTACCAAACAGGAGGAAGAAGGTGAGATTTAAAAATAAGTCAATTGAAGTAAAAATCTGTCAAAAATAAACTGCAGGTGATTACTGGCAAGGAACTGTGACTGACTAACCTATCAAGCTGCTGAACAGAATGGCTTATTTTGTGCAGGTGAAGTCAGTATTACTTTTTGAGCTTCCAATATATGCCCAGCAGTAGGAAATGAAAAAATGAAAAGAAGAGCCTGCAATGTAACCATCTCCAGACAATACTCATGTCTTTTTTAGACAGTGATGTTTTTGATGTCCTATTAGAATAGTGATATTTAGTGCTCTATGAGGCATATTTGTGTACATTCTGCTCCCTTTCTTTGCCATTGTGTTGCTAACTCCTTGGGAACAGTGACCGTCCTATAGTTCTTACTGCTGTGCCCATTCTATCCCTCCCGTTTAGTAGGTTCTGAATAAGTTATGAGTGAAGTAATGAATGATTATAATTAACTGAACATGCTAGTAAGTTTATCTGGATGAATGATGCATACTCTAGGTTTCAGCATGGTAGTGAAGCTACTTCTATCTCCTTGAATAAAAATGATCCTGTATTTTTGGGGGAAGGTCATTCTTTGGGTACCGACGTGTGGCTACAGGAACAATGCAAAGGAATGATCCCACCGCACTCCCCTTAACCGGCCACATAGAGAGAGCCTGTTTTCCCTCTTCTGTTTTTCCCACTCGAGTCAGACATCTAATTCATACACTCTCAGAAATGTGATTTTAACCTTCTTTGCTTTATCTAGGTTAGGGTAACTGCATATAAATCCTAACCTATTAAAATCATTCTGAATTAAAACAAATATCCGAAGTCTGTTCTAATTTAAATGGATAATGCTGAAACAAAATCTAGTTAAAATCAGACATCAGGGTATAAGTCTAAATTTTTATTTTCATTGTGATATTTTATTAACAGGATAAAAAAAAAAATACTCCTGATTGTCCCATAAGTACTTCCTCTGGATCTCTGGCAATTACTTAATTTGTCACATTGCAGGATATTTGCCCAGCTCAAGGTATAGGTTTTACTTGGGTCTTGGAATCTTAATGAGTGTAGCTCAGTGTGTCTTGAGCTATATACTCCAGTGTTTCCCTGAGGACTCTGCAGGGGAGCAGGCACCACAGACCAGCTCAGCCCTTCCTGCCAGCTCCCTTGGAGAGGGTGAAGTGCACACAATAAAAAGATGTAATCATAACGAGCTTTGCAATTCCCCGGTCATCTTAGTTCTGATGGTAATCTTAATATTCTCGTGAGAAATCTATCACTCAGCGTGGAAAACCACTACCATTGATTTAGGGGTTTTTGTTTTGTTTGTTTGCTCTTGGCCAGGGTTATATATGAAAACTCTGAGTAGCTTGCTGATTGAATAGACTTGGTAACACGGGATGAAAGCAGTTGAAAAAAATGATAGTCTAATAGTACATATTTATTTGATGTTGTAGAAAAACAAAAGCGAACAAACAAAACCTTGTCAGTCCCTTTCCTATGTCTAAATCAAGCATGGCAGCAAACATGATTCTGATATGCATAAAAACAAATGCTAACAAAACAAATGCTAACAATGTCTACAGGGACTCCTTTGTTATCATGGGCCTTGAAAATTAGTATAACACTAATTGTTAGACTACCAAGTAACCAGGCAGTAGATATCGAGTTAGGGGCCAACTGCAAATGGGGTTTAAAGTATGTTTTTCTTGCCTAATCAGTTGTTTTAAGATCCTCTCTCCTTGTCTTAACAAAGGATAAAACTCCCCAATGGAATTTTCTGAGACAACCCTCGTAAATTTTCATCTCACTGTCTTCATGGCACTTGGAACGTGGATTTGTGAATACTTTTAAAAATTCCTTAATAATACATTCTTACCACTTGTTTTGTATTTCTTGGTATCTCACATTTTCCCCTAACTAAAATATAAGTTGCTTGAATTCAGGGTCATTGACTTAACCCTGTCTTTAATTGTACTTCTTCCTACCTAGTCTTGCAGTAGGAGTTTAAAAAGTGTTTGCTAAACAAATTTATGCTTCTGATGCTTGTCTCTGAGGGGGTTTTAATGAATGTCCTTGTCGAGTCCAACTTCTTGGATTTATTCCAATGTATTTTATTTGGTTTAATCTTTCTGTAGTAAAGAATTACAACTTGGTTGTTTTTTTGTTATTTCAGCATAATATGGGGGTACAAATATTTAGGTTACGTATATTGCCCTTGCCAAGCCACCCGAGTCAGAGCTTCAAGAGTGTCCATCCCCCAGATAGTGTCCACCGCACCCATTAGGTGTGGATATACCCATCCCCTCCTCCGCTCTCTTACCTGCCCAACACCCAGTGAAGGTTATTACTACTATATGTGCACCTGAGTGTTGATCAGTTAGTACCAATTTGATGGTGAGTACATGTGGTGCCTGTTTTTCCATTCTTGGGATACATCACTTAGTAGAATGGGCTCCAGCTCTATCGAGGATAATATAAGAGATGCTAGATCACCATTGTTTTTTGTGGTTGAGTAAAACTCCATGGTATACATATACTACATTTTATAAATCCACTCATGTATTAATGGGCAGTTGGGTTGTTTCCATATCTTTGCATTTGTGAATTGTGCTACTATAAACATTTGAGTGCAGATGTCTCTTTTATAGAATATCTTTTGTTCCTTTGGGTAAATGCCCAGTAATAGGATTGCTGGATCAAATTTTAGTTCTACTTGTAGCTCTTGGGGTATCTACATATTGCTTTCCAAAGAGGTTGTACTAGTTTATA